CCTCACCCCCACGCACACCCCCACACACACATACACACCCGCCCCACACACACACCTCACCCCCACGCACACCCCCATGCACACACATACACACGCTGTCACGGAGTGGGTGGGGAAGACAAGGCCCTGCACCCCCGGCTTCCTGCGATTCACCATGACTCTCAGCCAGCCAGTAAAGCAGAAGGTTTATTTAGACGACAGGAACACAGTCCAAGACAGGTCTTGCAGGCACACACAACAGGACCCCCCTCAGTTAGGTCCATCTTGGGGTCCCAGGGCGCCCCAGCCCCCTTGCGAAGTCAGAACCTCGTCTGCCTCCCAGCCATCTCACCAGCCAGCTCCTGAAACTCTCCCTTCAGTGACCCCTCCCACAGCCTTTGTTCAGTTTCCCGGGCCAAGGTGTCACCTGGCCTCTAACCCCTTCCTGGGTTCTCATGTTACATGCTCAGGTATTCTCCATCGGTCAGTCTCCCATCCCCCAATGCAGACTATCCCAGCCACACTCCCCTGTCAGCATTCACAGACCACAGTAAGAACAGTCCCAGTTCGTCACACACGCACACACACCCACGCACCCCACGCACACACACACATACACACGCATCCCCCCACACATACACATTCACACCCACACATACACACGCCCCCCCCACCCACACACACACATACACCCCACACCCCCTGTCCAGGAAACCTAGATCAAACCCCGGGGACGAGCTGGGCAAACATTCCTCGTTCCCAAACTGGGTTTTACATGAAAATTGGCCTTTTTTTTTTTTTTTAAATAATAACAAAAAACGTTGTTTTGACCAGAATTGTCTGTTTCAATGAAAAATGCTCTTGGAAGGTTACCAAAGCAGTCGATTTTTGCCTGTTTTTATCAGCATTTGTTAATTGCCTCCGTACTGGTCACTGTTGCCGGGCATTTGACAATGACGCTGCACTTACCAGCTTCCTGTCTCCGGCCCCACCTCAGCTGCACCCGGCGACCGGCCCATCGTCCTGGGCACTCCGGGGAGGCAGGCAGTGCTCTCACCCTGGCACAGCTGGGAAACTGAGGCACCGCACGACAGCGGCCAGGGTTGCACTACACACTTCCATCGGTGTGACACCCTCACTCGCCCCCCGCCCCCGAGCCAGGCGGTTACGCCGACCGAAGCCCGGGCTGGCCAGCACCGTGTAGCTGGAAGGGCTTCTCCCGGCGACACAGCTCCTCTCTCGGGAGGTGGATTAGCTCTGCTCTCCCGTCAGCCACACCACGGCATTACAGCCCAGCTTCTCAGACTAAGCATGTGGGCCCCAGGGCGCCTGGAGCCCAGCAGGGACTTGCCCCTGGGTCTCCCAGGTCACAGGCGAGAGCTTTGCCTTCTCCGAGGGGCTCTGGTCCCGCCCGCCGGGCCTGCATCTCTGCCAGCCCCCAGCAAGCAAAGCCAGTGGGTCAGGCTGGAGGGAGTCAGCAGATTGGCTTGCGTATCATGGGCTGTATTGTTTTTAGATGAATTCCTGTTGGGTTTCGTTTGCCGCCTGGTGTTTTAGCCTTTCCCAGCTTTTCTCCCCGAGTGTCTCTGGCTTTCGGGGAAGGGCCTGTGGCCGTGCCCGAGCCGCTGATGGGCTTCTCTCTGTGTCTGGCGAGCCCAGGTGGAACCGGGTGGTGGAGCTGGTGGAGCAGAGGAAGGACCATCTCGGCTCCGTCCTGACGATCCAGAACTACCTCCTGGAGTGCACCGAGATCAAGGCGCAGATCCGGGAGAAGCGCCGCGCCGTGGAGGCCAGCCAGTACAGCAGCGGCGACCTGGGTGGCGTCCTGGCCTTGCAGCGCAAACTCTCCACCATGGAGGCGGCCCTGGTGGTGCTGGAGCCCAAGCTCCTCGAGCTGCAGCAGGAGGGCGAAGCCTTGGCCACCGCCCACCCGGCCCAGGCGCTGACCGTCCTGCTGCACTTCGAGGAGATCAGCGAGGAGTGGGAGGCCTTGAAGAGGACCCTGCAGGGCTGCGAGGACTCGCTCTCCGTGGCCAGCCGGCTGCAGCAGTTCATCCAGGACCTGGACAACTTCCTGACCTGGCTGGTGAAGACTCAGGCGGCCGTGGCCTCGGAAGAGCTGCCCAGCAACCTGGCGGGGGCGGAGCGGCTGCTGAGCCAGCACACGGCCCTCAAGGAGGAAATCGACCGCTACGAGGAGGACTACACCAAGATCCAGGCGGCCAGCGACCTGCTGGCCCTGGAGGAAGCCGACGTGCCCTGCCTCTCGCTCCAGCAGTGGCTGCAGAAACTGGACGTGGGCTGGAACAAGCTGCTGCAGATGTGGGAGAGCCGGCGGGAGGCGCTGGTCCAGGCGCACATCTTCCACCTTTTCCTGAGGGACGTGCAGCAGGCCGAGGCCTGTCTCCGCAACCAGGTAACGGGCGGGGCCGCCCCTCGCACACGGCCGGCTCGGCAGGGTCACCGGGGGCACTGCAGGGTTATGGCTAATGCATTGCGAGTGCCGAGCACGACTTTCTAGTTATATCTGTGAGCGATGAATGGCATTTGTTAAGTATCAACGGCTTGTTATTAATTGAGGTGATTGGCCAATTATTGCTAATCCCGCAAGGTCATTAATATTTGGTAATGATTTGTTACGTATTAATTGCCATTGGCTAAGAATTAATTAGCAGTTATTGCCGTTAGCAAAGTTACTTATTGAGCTTTACTAAGTATTTGCTAATTATTCATTGATATCTGATTGGCTCGTTATTACTACAGATCAGTTCTCATGTATTGTCTTTGCTACCTCTTAGTATCTGTTAAGAATGAATTGCTAATCACTGATTTTTGGTACTTGGCTATTTCTAAATATTAATTGTTAATTTATTGATCTTTGCAGACTATTTGGTATCTAAGTATTCGTTGCTAATAATTAAATAGTATTTGATCATTGTTGCATTTTGACATTATTAACTGCTAATAATTGTTGCCATTTGATAATTATTAATTGGTATATGCTAGATATTGCTCACTATTCCTTAGCGTTTGGTAATTAGCAATACATTTACTAGCAAATTATCAAATACCAATGAGTAATTAATACTTAACAAATACCATTAGCTAGCAAATGGCATTACATAGAGAACAATACTTATCTAAGTGCTCGTTATTCCTAAAGATGAATTGCTAATTCGTTGCTGTTCACTCGTGATCCATTGGTGCTTGGCATCTGGGACGGGTGATTCGCTTCCCGGGTTCCCAGATGGGCTCTAAAGCCCAATCACTCGCGCCGGCGCCAGTGAGAGGCCAGAAGCCACAGTAGCTGGGTGCGAGCGGATGATTTGTCAGCCGGTTGTTGAGCTGGGACATGGATCATCAAATCGGCCACTTAGTGCATGAAATCAGAGTGTGGTGGGGAGCCCTGTTCCCCCCCGCCCCCCTTCCCTGCCGCAGGACCTTCCGCCCAGCCCAGCGTAGCCAGGACAGCAGGAAATGGAGCCCGGGCTCTGGGGGAGGAATGGCCAATCTAGGGGCTCAACATTGTCAGAGCAGCAACGGGCAGCCCAGGGTCTGGGGAGTCAGGGCCAGCCGTGAGGACCCGGTTCAGGAAAGCACGTGCGAGTTTGGTGTGCATTATGGGAGCACCTAGAGGCTACAACCGAGATCAGGGCCCCATCGCGCCGGGCGCTGCCCAGACAGAATGAGAAACATGCATTGTCCTAAAGAGCTCCCCGTCTAAACAGGCCAGGAGTGGGAGGGGAAACTGAGGCCCAGAGAGGGAAAGGACTTGCCCAGGGTCAGCCAGCAGGTCAGTGGCGGAGCTGAGCACGGAACCCAGGTCTCCTCTGAGCCTGCGAGCAAGTCCCACTGACGGCCAGGGGGCTCCGTAAGTGCTTTGTGCGTTCTGCACCCCCCCGGCCGTCAGCCGGCCCTGCCCCACCCCAGGAGCCAGGGGGAAGGGGAGGCCTAGCTGAGCCGGTCAGGAGCAGTTGGTAGCCGGGCAGATGGTTCCTGGGAGGAAGTCTGCAGGGCCGGCTCCAGCGGAGCTAGCTGCAAGAGGCCAGAGGGATCCCTGCGGAGAGGGAGAGGCTCTTCCGGGGCGGCGCTGCAGCCGGGATCGAGGCTCGGGGATTCACGCTGGTCTCTGGGGGTTCCCCGTCTCGGGCCCCCCTGCGGGGCCCAGCACAAGGGGCTTGACCCAAGGCCCACAGGCTTGGAGCCAGGCCCGAGCCCGGGGGGAGCGGCTCTGCTCTGCTCAGGCTGGCAACGTGGGAACTGGCATTTGGCGCAGCCTGCAGGCAACTGACGCCGACGCAGAGCGACGGCTGCCAGGCGCCTCCGAGCGCAGCTGCCTGGGAGTGGGGCCGGCAGAGAAGGAAAGAGGGGGAGGGATTTTCTATCCCTGGCTTGCGGAGTGGGTGGGGACTAGTGGTTAGACCAGGGGGCTGGGAGCCAGGACTCCTGGGTTCTCTTCCCAGCTTTAGCCCCTGACCTGCTGTGCGACCCCAGGCACGTGGCTTCCCCCTCCGTGCCTCAGTTTCCCCCCTCCACAGGGGGCCGGTGTGGGGAGTGCGAGGTTGGGGGGAGGTTTGCAGGCTGCCCGAGGGATGAGTGTTAACCCCGACCCTCCCGCTCCCCCCCAGGCGTCCACCCTGGCCCACGCGGAGCTGCCCACCACGATGGAGGCGGCGGAGAAGGCCATCAAGAAGCACAAGGATTTCATAACCACCATGGAGCTGAGCGTGCCGAAGACGACGCTGGCCCTGCGGGCCGGGGAGAGCCTGGTGCGCCAGGGCAGCCCCTACAGCGAGCGCGCCCAGGAGGAGATGGCGGCGCTCAGAGACAAGTAGGCCTTGCGCAGCGCCTGGCGCGGTCCCCTTCCCAGCCCGAGCCACCGGGCCGTCCCCTCCAGCCGGGCCCAGCTTCCCCGGCCGGGGGCTGCTTCTGCGGGATTCCCCCCCCCCGCCGCTTAGCCCCTGCCCCACACACACACCAGGGCTGGGACTCCAATCCCCCACAGGCTCCCACAAGCCCCGTGGGCCCAGCTCCCTGAGGGGTTTGGGGCCAGAGCCCCTCGAAATCAGTGGGGGTCATGTGCCAAACCCCCCTGGGCCCGGGTCTCTCCGGGCTTCAGTGCCCCCCCCCCGGGCAATGGGCAGAGCAGTGCCGCACGGGCGCAGGGAGGGGACGTCCCTTAGGGGCTGGGAGGCGCCCAGAGGCTGCGGTGATGGGCGTAGAGACGCCCGCGTGGATCCGGGAGCCGGTTCCTGCGTGTGTGGGATGCTGGGGAGACGAAAGGCCCTGGGCTCCGGAGGGCACTAGTTTGGGGAGAGGGTGAACTGAAGCCCACAACAGAGCCAGTGAAGTGCTCCTCTCCCCTCCGTGCGGCGGGCTGGGTCGGCAGCTGTCACCCCGCGTCTCTGCCGGCTGGGGGCCCCTCCAGCTAATCTGCCACCCTTGAATTGCAGTGACATCGTCAGGATATTTATCCTCGCCCGCCGGCTATTGCCGCCTTTGCGGGGTGGGTTTGTAACGAGTAACGAGGCACTGGGTTAATTGCACCCGCCTCGGCCTGGGCATCGGTCGTCTTCCCCGCTCGTTCCCGCCGAGTTCACTGCCCGCCTCATGGGCACCCGAACCCCGGAATCGCCTGCCAGGAGAGGCGGTTTGGCCTCATTTGCAGGAATTACGCCCTGAACAAGTAGCTAGTGAGGCTTGTGTCCCTCGGTTCAGGGCCTGCACTGGCTGGATGCGGGGCCCAGTGGACCGGCGCTGGCTGGGAGTCAGCTCTGACCAGGCACCAGCTGACCAGGGTCGCTCCGTTTGCCCAGCTGGTCAATGGGGTCAGAAGCCCACCCTCTGTCCGGCGCCTGGCGAGCCCAGTGGCAGGCGCTGGGTACGAGCTGACCCGGTTGGTTTGTCTCTGGGCCGGGTACGGTGGCCCAGCCTGGGCGATTGTGGTCCCGGCTGGCCCGGAAGCTGTGGCTGCGGGAACGACGCAACTCTGGCAGGCGTGGGGCCCAGCGATTCCGTCCCTAAGGCTTTCGATGGGGCTGGGCCGTGTGGAGGCAGCTCGGAGGGTCCCCGGTGCCACATAGACAGGCCAGAGCCCGTCTCCGCCCGCTCGGATGATTGTGGGGAATTCTCCAGAGTCCTCGCCGGGTGCTTTGCCCCGTTTCTTCCCGCCCTGCAGGAGGGCTGAGCCTGCCAGGGGCTGGGAGCTTCCTTCTTCAGGGCCTCCCATCCCCAGCCGCTCCCCGTTTCCCGAGGGCAGGCGGGGAGCTTGGGTTCGCACCCCCAAAGTGTCTGTAGACAGCGCAGCCGGAGCCGCAGCAGCTCCCGGAGCTCCAAGGAGAGGCCCCGGGACTCGTGGCAAAGCCCGTCCCTGGAGATGTGGGACCATCCCAGGCCCCTCTCGGGACTGCGCCGAGCCCTGCAGAGCTGGTCCTGGATCTCATCGCCTGGGCCACCCTCCCTCCCCAGCCTGGAGCAAACACCCACCCTGGGGTCCTGCTTGGCTTCTTGGCTGTGTCTGGCCGCAGGGCGGTTTCCCCGTTGTCTGTTCAGACTGGGAGCTCTTTGGGGCAGGAACTGTCTCTTGTTCTATCTGGGCAGCGCCCGGCATGACGGGGCCCTAATTTCGGCCAGGGTCTGTGCAGCGCCTGGCGCGACGGGGCCCTGATCTTGGCCGGGGTCTGTGCAGCGCCTGGCGCGACGGGGCCCTGATCTCAGTTGGGGTCTGGGCAGCGCCTGGCGTGACGGGGCCCTGATCTCAGTTGGGGTCTGGCGGTGCCCGGCGCGACGGGGCCCTGATCTCAGTTGGGGTCTGGCGGTGCCCGGCGCGACGGGGCCCTGATCTCAGTTGGGGTCTGGGCGGCACCCGGCGCGACGGGGTCCTGATCTCGGGCTGGGTCTGGGCGGCGCCCGGCCCGACGGGGCCCTGATCTCAGTTGGGGTCTGGGCGGCGCCCGGCGCGACGGGGTCCTGATCTCGGGCTGGGTCTGG